TGTTGAATCCTTGGAGAGATAAGTCTCTATTTTGTATTCTTTTAGTTGTTTAACCTTCTTGTAACCTTCGTTGCCAGTTTGAAGGTAGTATAGTGCAACCGAGCGTTATCCTTTTGTGGATGCTCAACAGGGGATTAGGTGTATACCGAACCTCTGGGGCTTCGGCCGAAAAATCTCTTGTGTTCATTTACTTTCTTGCAGTTTTTAGTTTTCTGTTGTTTAAGTTTCTTGTATCTTGATTCTAATACATGTGGGTCTTGGCCTTTCAGTTTGAAATTGCAGAGTATAAATATAAATTGTAGTGATCAAATTTTGAGAAATTAGTAGTAATATTTTTGTCTCTGGATGACCAAAATTTTGAACTTCTTATTAAACTGAAACATTGAGACTCCTCAAGTTTGGTACTAAGTGGTAATTTACTGAAGTCACAGAAACCTCATTTTAAGGACATTTGGCTTTTGGACAGACCCAATAACATAGTGATCTGACCTAGGTAGTCTATGGTTGAGGCACAAGTATACGTTTATTGGATTTCAGTTCTCACACGCACCTATTGGGTTCTTAGTACGCTTTTTTGTTATAAAAATGTAGGTTTGGTCCATTCCAAAGAGGAAAAAGAAATCCAAAAAGGGAAAATAGATATATGTGGTAAAATGCCAACTTCAAGGCTGAAGTTCCTGAAGCAGGGATTGGCATATCAGGTATAGAATTTCATCACGTCCACAAATTTTTTACACTCAGTAAAATGGGATTTAACATTATGTTAATTGCACATCAAGGCTGAAGTTCCTGTCAACTGGTGCCCTGCACTTGGCACTGTCTTGGCAAATGAAGAAGTGATAGATGGTGTGAGCGAGCGCGGACATCCAGTGATAAGAAAAGTATGTTTTTTCTCTGTTCTGTTAAATTGCACCAATGTCAAATAACGTCTTTACTTTTCCTTACTTTTACACCTTGGATGATTTTATAGTTCATTTTTTTATTACCTAGCAGCCTATGCGGCAATCGACGCTGAAGATTACTGCATACGCTGACCGTCTTCTTCAAGATTTAGATGATCTTGACTGGCCCGAAAGTGTTGAAGAAATGCAAAGAAACTGGATAGGAAGGTCAGAAGCGGAATTGGAATTTTGTCTCGTGGACATCCATGGTCTGGAAATAGAGGATAAAATTATTGGTTATACCACAAGGCCTGATACCATTGTTGGGGCAACGTATATACTCTGTGTTAAGGGTAGTATTGACTCTTCACCAAATGCCAGCACAATGCCTCAGGACCACAATGCAGTTACATAATTCTTCCCTATCATCCTCCACGCCAGAATACACCTTGCTGTTGAATATTCTGTTGTAACAATATTTCACTCCATTGAATATTCTCTTGTAGCTCTATATATAGAAATCCACTATAATAGATAAAGAACAAGGAATGAAAATATTATTCAAGTAATTCTCTCTATCATGGTATCAGAGCTTGACTAAGGATTAACCTCCAATGGCGTCACCTCCTTCCTCTCCTTCTTCTCCTACAAATTCAGTCACCCATTCTAACCCTTTATTCAATCCCACTCCCAACCAGCCAAATATTTCTCACATTATTTCTGTCAAACTCACCCCAGATAATTATCTTCTGTGGAAGATTCAATTGGTTCCTTACCTTCGTGGCCAACGACTCTATCAGTTTGTCGATGGCTCGTTTCCCTCTCCTAAGCCTCAGCTAAACGATTCTGCACCTAATCCTGCTTATGAATCCTGGTTGCAGCAGGATCAACTCGTTATGTCAGTCCTCATTTCTTCTCTTTCCGAGCCGCTTATGGCACAGGTTGTGGGTTGTGCTTCGGCTCGTGCGGTGTGGCTTTCCCTTGAATCTACTTATGCTTCGGCATCTCAAGCTCGTCTTCTCCAAACTCAGTTTCAACTGGCCTCTCTCAAGAAAGGCGCAGACTCCATATCTGAATTTTATCGCAAGGCTAAAACACTGGCTGATACAATATCAGCTGCAGGACGACCTCTGCCTTCTTCCGAGTTTGTTCCTTATCTTCTGGCAGGTTTAGGACCTGATTATGATCCTCTAATTCCATCAATCACCACCAGACTTGAACCTATCTCTCCTGAGGAACTTTTGGGTCATCTTCTTGCTCATGAAGCACGTCTCCAGCATCACTCTCATATCAGTCTTCTCTCAAATGAGGTCTCAGCCAACTACACTGCCAGACAGCAACCTGCACAACGTGGTGGTCTAAACCGCGATGGCCGTAATCAATACAGAGGCCGTGGTGGTCGCTTTAATCGTGGTGGCCGTGGTCCACCGCCAAGTAGCAGGGAGAATGACTCTACTACTCGCATTGTCTGCCAAGTTTGCAATCGGCAAGGGCACAGTGCTCTCACTTGTCTCTACAGGTTCAATCAAGCTTATACAAGTCCTGCTCCTGCTACAGCACATTACTCATCTGTCCCTTATGTTCCTGATTCATCCTGGTATCCGGATACTGCAGCAACAAATCACGTAACTAGTGATCTGTCCAACTTGAATCTCCAGGCTGCTGATTATCACGGCGAGGAAAATCTACGTGTTGGTGATGGAAGTACTATCCCCATTTCCCACTCTGGTTCGGCCTCTCTCTCTTCCCCAACTAACACTTTTCTTCTTCATAATATCCTATGTGTTCCTTCATTCCAAAAGAATCTCATTTCAGTCCGACAATTCTGTGTTGATAATAATGTATTTTTTGAATTCTTTTCTGATTCTTTTTGTGTTAAGGACTGCCATTCGGGGAAGCCCCTCATTCGCGGAACCGTCAATAATGGCCTATACTCCTTCACTCCACCGTCACCTTCAGCTCTCACAACTGATATCTCTATTCCCACATGGCACTCATGACTTGGACATGCCTCCCTGAAGCTTGTTCGTTCCATTCTGCAGCAGCACGAGCTGCCTTTTGATCCTTCAATAACATCCTCCTTTTGTGATGCGTGTGCTCAAGCTAAGTCCCATCGTCAACCTGCTCTTCCAAGGCTTCAAAGATCCACTGCACCTTTACAATTAATTTTCTCTGATTTATGGGGACCTTCCTCACATGTATCTCAAGATGGTTATCGATATTATATAAGTTTTGTTGATGACTTCACTCGCTACACTTGGTTGTTTCCCTTGCAATCTAAATCTCAGGCTTTGTCTGTCTTTATTAACTTTAAAAGTCTTGTTGAACTTCAATATAATGCTTCCATCAAACAATTTCAATCCGATTGGGGAGGTGAGTTTAGGCCCTTTTCTCAGTTTCTCACCTCTCATAGAATCTTGCATCGAATCACCTGCCCACACAATCATACCCAAAATGGAATTGTTGAGCGAAAACATCGACATATCGTTGATACTGGATTAGCTCTCCTAGCACATGCATCCATACCACTTTCATTCTGGCCTCAGGCCTTCAAACATGCCGTATACTTAATTAATCTTCTACCATCAGCTTCGCTACACAACAACTCACCATACTTCTTGCTTAACAACAAACATCCAAACTATAAATCATTAAGGTTAAAACCGACACGGACAACCGGAATTACTGCTCCCTACAACACTTCCAAATTCAATTATCGATCAATAGAATGTGTCTTTTTGGGTCTCAGTTCAGGTCATAAAGGTTACACTTGTTACCACATCCCAACAGGTCGCGTCTACACAGCCATTGATGTTCGGTTCAATGAGTCCTTTTTTCCGTTTAAAAATTCTAACACTTCACGATCAAGATCTAAGCCCAATTACGGCATTCTTCCTTCTATCCAACGATCACAATTTTCACAGCCCACTGGTACACTAAATTCGCCTTCCATCTTAGGTCCTTCTCCCACTTTCTCAAGACCATCATCTTCATCTTTCTCTTCTCCAGCTCCACCATCAACAACACATGCTGCTTCCTTGCCTGTTAATCAGCCTCCTGCACACTCAATGGTGACAAGGTCTTGGGCTGGTGCTGTTCAACCACGACAATTCACGGATGGTACCATAAGGTGGCCTCTACCAAGAGCCTTTTTCAGTGATAAATTTGATGTCCCTGAAACTCCCACTTCTTACAGTGTTGCTAACAAATATGCTGAATGGCGGAATGCAATGTCAAAAGAGTTTCATGCTTTGCTTGCTAACAATACCTGGTCTTTAGTTCCTTCTTCTCAGGCCTCAAATGTTGTAACCTGCAAATGGGTTTTTCGAACAAAACAGTTGGCTAATGGTTCTATTGAACGACGAAAAGCCCACCTCGTTGCCAAGGGATTCCTTCAACATTCCGGTATTGACTTTGAGGAAACATTTAGCCCAGTTGTAAAGGCTACCACCGTCCGATTGGTTCTTGCTCTGGCTATCTCTCATCACTGGAACATTCAACAGTTTGATGTCCAGAATGCATTCCTGCATGGACCATTGCACGAAACAGTTTTCATGTCCCAACCGCCCGGCTTCACTCATCCTACACTTCCCTCTCATGTTTGCAAGCTACATAGGGCTATATATGGCCTTCGTCAATCACCAAGAGCTTGGTACTCCAGGTTGAGCTCACGTTTAGTTGATCTTGGGTTTTGTATATCATCTGCAGATTCTTCCCTCTTCATATTATCAACAAAAACTTGCACTACCTTCGTGTTGGTATATGTCGATGATCTTCTTATTACTGGCTCTTCAACAACATACATTTCAGAACTCATTACTGCCTTAAGAGTGGATTTTCCTATTACTGATCTTGGTCGTTTGCATTATTTTTTGGGTGTTGAAGCTACATTCAATTCCAGTGGTCTGCTTCTAACTCAACAGAAGTATATTACTGACCTTCTTCTGCGAACCAACATGCATCTTTCAAAACCAGTTAAAACACCAATGTCTACAACAGATAAATTAAGCGCCTTTTCTGGTAGCTTATTTGACAATCCTACTCTCTATAGAAGTACCGTTGGTTCCTTGCAATATCTCTCATTTACACGGCCGGATCTAGCTTTTGCGGTGAACAAAGTATGTCAATTTATGCACTCTCCTCGTGTACCTCACTGGCAGGCGGTAAAACGAATTCTTCGCTACCTTAAACATACCTCAACCCTTGGTCTGCAACTGACACCGTCTTCCACTCTCAGTATTACGGCTTTTTCCGACGCTGATTGGGCAGGGTGCCCTGATGATCGGCGCTCTACCAGTGGATATTGTGTGTTTCTTGGCAAAAATTTAATTTCTTGGTCATCCAAGAAACAACCAACAATCGCCCGATCCTCTACTGAAGCAGAATTCAAGGCTGTTGCAAATAACACAGCTGAAGTCATCTGGATTCAAAGTTTATGCCGTGACTTATGCGTAAATCAATTCAAGGCTGTTGCAAATACCACAGCTGAAGTAATCTGGATTCAAAGTTTATGCCGTGACTTATGCGTAAATCTTCCTCAAGCCCCAATGATCTACTGTGACAACATGAGCACCATTTATCTGTCGTCAAATCCAGTTTTTCATGCACGTACTAAACATGTTGAAATTGATTTCCACTTTGTTCGAAATCGGGTCCTTAATAAATCACTTCAGGTGGCATTCGTTTCTGGTCACGATCAACTTGCAGATGTTCTGACAAAACCACTCTCATCGACCAAGTTCCTAAGGCTTTGCACAAGTCTACGCCTGCAACATTTGCCGCTTGACTTGAGGGGGGATGTTAAGGGTAGTATTGACTCTTCACCAAATGCCAGCACAATGTCTCAGGACCACAATGCAGTTACATAATTCTTCTCTATCTTCCTCCACGCCAGAATACACCTTGCTGTTGAATATTCTGTTGTAACAATATTTCACTCCATTGAATATTCTCTTGTAGCTCTATATATAGAAATCCACTGTAATAGATAAACAACAAAGGGAATGAAAATATTATTCAAGTAATTCTCTCTATCACGCACAGATATGAACGGATTTTTGATCACCTAGTTGAGGAGATGATGTCTCAAGAACTTGCTATGAAAGCCATTTTGTCAAATGCTGAGCTTTTGGTGTTTACTTCTTTGGAACTACCATCACAATGTTGGAGTGAGTCCCATATATTTATTTGCCTATAGCTCTGCTTTTTCCCTTCTCTCCAGTCTTTGCTTTAATTCTGAATCGCTTGCATAATGAAAAATTGCAGGATTTCAGGGCAAATATTATCTCTGGGGAGTCTTTAGAGGAAAACAGGTGCACGCACACATTGTGGATAACCATCTTACCGATTCAATTGGAGGTGACAAACCCGTCTTGTATTCAGATTGTTCAAAACATATGGATATAAGCGGGGGAAAAAACACCATGAAAACCAAGAATTGGGATGCTCGAAGTCCTCTTAGTCCATTGAGCGACAATGGTAATTATGGTTTGGCCACTTTTTTGTAGTGTTTTTCAATGTTTCATGTTCTTACGATGTCCACAATTTTGTTCTTCAGATTGAAATATTCTCAGTGCAAGCATGACCCGGATGTTGTAGGAACTATTGTGGTTAGTCTGAAACCGGAATTTGAACATTACATGTTCAGAAGGAACCGTCCCAGGCCTCTAGCTTTAACAGGAAAGAAAAAAAAAACTAAAATCTTGTTCATTGTAGTTGCAGTATAGGAATCGGAATATTGGGCATTTTGTACTTTTGAGAAGCATGGCCCACCATTGACCTTGTGTACAAGGCCGCCGGGCAATATTGATGTTAAATCATTGTTTATAGTTTTATATTTGCCCGTTTTCTCATACTACTGGACTTTTATGTTATGTTTGGTAAAGTGGATTAAATAGATCTGGACCGACCGATACAATTAACTGACTTTTATGTTATGTTATGGTTATAACCTAGATAACTAATTTGTTCCCTTTTGGGTGTTTTTTCACTATATTTTAATCCATCGTTACATTTATGTATATAAACTCAAATACATTTGAAGTTGCTGGAATGAATCATTTTTCGCCGGTGTTGTAGTTCACTATCGTATCTATATACTAAATTACGTCCATTTGGTGTGGTTTAAAATCTCAATAAAAATTTATTTTAACCACATCATCTTATGGGATTCACAACTTTTTATTTAAATATTTTTAATTTTTATCAAAAATTAATAAAATTTGACTTTTAGCTACATTAAATAGGGTCTACATTAAGAGCCGAGTACATAAATAAATGTGATGAAGAGTCTACATGTTTAGCAACTGACTAAGCATAATCTTTTTTAATCCTATTAATGATAATAATATTCACGTCTCCGTGTATTAGGTAAACTGGAAAGCTGCTTTAAACAATAATCTTGTTTAATCTTACCCCTTCGAGCCATGCCCTCCCCATATCTACCTCTTGTTTTCAATAATTATTTTACTCACTATCCCTTTTTAAATGATAATTTAGCCTTCATTTAGCAAACAAATTTATAAATAATTAATAAATTCAATTAAAGTCAAACATTAATTTAAACCAACTGCATTTCCTCGAAGTTGCTTAAAACGTAATTAATTTAGATTTATGTGACTAAACAAAAGATGTTTGTCAAATCTTAGGAGCCGGATTTCACGAATGATTTCTAGAAAAATAAAATTATATAATTTGTGAAACAATGTCGATGCACTCTAAAGTTTGTACTTGGAATTCTTTATTTCTTAAAATAAAGATGAACTGATCGACCAATAAAGATAGAACCTAGATGATTTTTCTATAGAACTTCTATATATTAAAGTTTGAGTGTCGTATTTTGCTAACTCGTTCATATGTTCACTCGAGTTTATAAAATTGTGACTAACCAATGAAATCACAAGATCTTAAAAGTTCAATCTTCTTATAAGATACTTGAATCTCATTCAATTCTACATAAAAAAAATAAAAAAATAAAGAAAAACCATGAAACTTTATAATCATAGTGTTACATAGTAGCGATCGATAGTCGATACTATATAAGATATTAAACATTTTGATTTCTCTTCTTTCATATCAGGTTATTTGCACTAAGCATATCAAAACAAAAAGGGGCCGAGTATATTGAGCATGTTTTCCATCTCTTCTCGAGAAACAAGTGTGCTATTGTGATCGATAAAATTACTTCAAAAGGGCTTTTTTTTTTTCTTGATAGATTAAGAACTCAAACTACTATTAATCTATTTAAATGGCAGTTTGACCAAGTAATTATATACAAAAATACAACAACAAGAAAGAGCAAACAAATATATATTGCTGTGTTACAAACTACAATCCAGAGGCTATATGACAAAAAAAAAGAAGAAGATCCAACAAGACAAGAAACAGATTTAAGCCAAACTAATGTATCAAGAAATTGTAAAGAAATAATGGTAATAATCTTACTTCAAGGAAATTTCGAAATCAGGTGTACCATGTTTAAAAGTAACTTTTAAAGATAAAAAAAGTCGACTTTCAAGCAAGGTCGAACCTGCTATCAGATCCAGTTGTATACCGTCTTCGTCACCAAGATGATTCGGAAGTAAAGCTACTAATTCCTGCATTTTGTATAGGGTTAAAGGTCAAATAAACTATGGAAAAGGTCAAGAGTATTTGGAGAAGGCATATAGGGCGAAAAAAAAGTTGGACTAGGAATTAAACTGCTCTCTATATAATTTTTGTTACTGTGTAAAACTGGGCTTAAATCATAGAAAAAATTTAGTGGATTTATATCAGACGAAGGGGAAAAATATTTTGATGGAATAGTTGGAAGAGAAGCTGGATTAGGAGATAAAATACCCTGAAATTGCCTGCAAGTGCTGTCAATTTCTGTGCTAATATTTATCCCTTCAACCATCTCCATCCCATTAAAAGCTTTTGGTAATTTTCTTCCTTCTGGGGGCTTAGTTTTTTCTATAGAAGCAAAACGTGCAGCTGGAGATATTGCACCATTGTTGAAATTTTCTTGAAAAACTGAGGAAGAGTAAGACGTCGAGGAGGTCGAATTCGTGCCGGTTAAACGTTGAACTAGTGACATAAATTCATTAGGATTTGCATGGATTATCTTGGGGGAGACGGTGTAGATTATGACTGGTGGTCGAGGTGGCAGCTGCTGCGGTGGTTGTGCAACTGGTGCTTTTCTGATCTTGTGGGAATCTTTACGCACTTTTAGAGGTGCTGGACGAGGTCCTTGGAGTTGGAGCTCCCTGCTAGGTGATCTGTCCATGTCGGTGACTGGTGGTTCCGGTGATTGGAATTGGAGGAGATGAGGAGGCGGAGGTGGTAGTGGTTTGGTGGGATAATGATGATAAATGGACCTGTTTTTCTAATGCAAACTAAGAAATATATGCATTGAATGACAAGCTGAATAGCAAATGTTAAATCAATTGAACTTGTACAATAATTGGACAGTTGTGTGTGTATATATATACGTAAAAATATATTAATTAATTACATACTGATGTTTCCTAGCTTTGGCCGGTTTCGTGGTGGTGTTAATGTTTGAACTTGTCAAGAAATTTGTGAGTATAGTTCGTGCGGTACGTAACATTATTACCTTATCTAAGATTCTAAATAGGGGGTTTGAATTTAGTTATATGGGCAAGAATTTTACGATAAGATATACATGATTGAACAGTCTAACAAATATATTAGAAGTAAGTCGTACTCCTAGTAATTAAAGTCCGCTTACTCAATATTTTATTATAGATGAAAAATATATACATCAAAGTCGAAAGCGTACGCACAACGTAATTTTGTTGAAATGATTTAAAGATTTGAATTCACTTCGAAATTGATCCCCCGATCGACAGAGCATGCATTAGTAAAATTTATTTCTTATATAAATTTTAGATTGTGCATTTTAAAAGACAGTGATTATCATGGTTTATAATTGAAATTTATTTTTGCAGAAAGTCACTTCCTACCTACAAAGTACCAGCTCCATGAGTGCAAGTGTAAAAAATTGAAGTCAGCAGTCAGTTTTCATATTTTGTCAAAACTCCCTCTTTTTGACCATTCAAGTTTTAAATTTTAATTTACGATTTTCCCCAAATTACATATTTTATTTAATTTTTTTTTCTAAAACTGTAAAAAAATAAAAAAAATTAGTCAAACGCACGCGCAGAAATTATTTTACTGAGTTCATACTGATAATAAATTTGATGCAGCCAGGTTGACTCACGGGAGAGGGTTATTCCTTTTAATTTATGGTTTCAGTCTAAATTTTCAACTTATCAATTACATTACTGTACAGATTTCCTCCACATAAGGGGAAACGTAATCTAAGATGTAAGCTAGAATGTACGTCTAGCTTAATTCAATGAGAAATACATAATATGTCCATGCTTGATGGCCATTATTTGGCTAAAATAATGTTTTGAATAGTGATTTTTAATAAAATATGTAATTAAAAAGTATGAAAAAGTTTTGAATTTACGTGCAGGATATTTCATTTTATGAATGTGGTTGAAATGAGTATATAGAAAAAAGAGTTTCAAATAATGATTATTAAACAGGGAGATTCGCGATTTCTTATTAAAAAGTCAAGAATGTTAACCAAGACTCTAAAATGAGCATAAAAATTTCGAGATAGATTTTCTCAAACAAACCAACATCTTGTTGGATCATATTACCCCTGTTTGATATATACTAAAATTTTCATTTTTATTTTTCTACTCATTTTCAACCACACATTATTCAATAAAATAATATTTTCCATCACATCAATAACTTTTCTTTCTTTTTCAACCATACATCATCAATCAATCTACTATTCCAGAATATATTCTTTCAAAATAATATGGCTTATTCACACCCTTATGAATCCTACACTGCTGAATAACTATAAAAATATAAACTAACACATAAGGGTTTGGTCTACCCTTCTCAATAAAATTTATATTTTTAAGATGGAACAATTTTAATATTATGTACCCACTAAAGAAGAATACTATTTTATTATAATGATGTGATTTTGCACTTGTTTGGTAGCGATTAAAATTAGATTTTTAATAAATTTTGATAAAAGTTGATAAAATGTGCGGTTAAAAAATTGTGGATCTCATAAAATGTGTTGTTAAAGTTAATTATTGACGTTAACTTAAATTAAAATCTGAATTATAATCTCTTTCAAAAAGGCTTTATATAAAATATGCCTAGAAGAAACTGTCTAACAATAAAGAAATAATTCTTAGAAATGTAAATTTAAGTTGGATTATATTTTGAAAAGAAAGAGAAAAAAATAGTTAATTTGAGAGGACATGCAAGAAAATGACTGGTGTAAAATGCAAGTGCAAGTTGCTTCTGGAGGCTGGCCAAATGCATTGCAACATTAAATGATTTGGACAGTCCATCAAATTTAGCCGCGCGAGTTGACTCACTAACCCGAAACTGACTTATTCTCCAAACTCAAAATCAGATTGACCAAATCCATGGCATATTATGATTTATGAGCGATGAACCTAATAAAGACAGAGATAATGAAAAGAACAATGTCTCACTTTCTAGTCAAGGTCTTTTTTGGCTTTGAGAAGTTTTAATTATCTAGATGCAAAGCAATATTTACTGGGTCCGTGTTGAGGGGATCTTGATCCTTGGTTAAAAATAGAGGAAATTTTTGTTGACTTTTTCTTTTTCATTTTTATTTTGCTTGACTTGGTTAAATCTTTTAATTTGTGTTGAGATTCTTGATCTAGTCGACAAATACGATTTTTATTGACATTTTATCTTTTGCTATTGTTTACACTTGGGGGCGACAATGGGCTGAGCCGGATATTGATCACCAGCCGAGCTCCTGGGCCGAATTGACCATTGGCTCTCTCTCTCCCTCAATTGATAAAACCCTTCTCGTTTATTCGAATTTGGGATCAACTACTTAAATTTCGAATATGCGGAGTTAAAAATTGTACACGAACAACTTGTTACATATACAATTTTTTTTTTTAAATTAAAATAGTATTATAAAATAATGTAGTTAAATTAAATATTACTTACCCGACGACATACAATTTCGACATATTTATCTTATAGTTGAAAATTAGCGTCTTGTCAATCATTCTCGCACATTAATGCTTCCAAAATATCTTCTTTCAATCAGCTCCTGACCTCGGACATAACCATCATACATGCACTAAAGGAGGAATTTGAAACTACAGTGTTAATTAGAGATGTTAGTAGGTCTTTTATAATCGTATAAAACATTGGTCGTTCGTACTTTCGTCAGATTTCAATTATTTATTCTGAACTTTTTTTTTATTTTTTTATTATTAGGTGTATTATGATTAAAGTAATCTAGTAATTCAACAGACAATTCATTTGGACTTGCGTCTGATATCTGATTACATGCAGTAGACATACTAATATTAGAGGAACCTATTGCATCATATTTATACGAATTAATGCTTTCAAATAAGTTTAATATTTCAGCGCTGTCTTCTTCAATAGCAGCGGTAGGGTAGATGCGAGTGTACCCAACTAATATTTGCATCCATTTATTCTACAAATAATTCATACATTTAATATAAAATTTCATACGAGTGATAGGTGTATTAAAAGTTAGAACTTTTGAAATCAGATAAATATCATATTGGTACCTAATAAATTGTATCGATGGTCCATGATGTATGCTAAATGAAATAACATGAGCAAGTTTTTCAAATATTTTCTAAACTTTAATTCCATAGAATATATAATTTTACTAAAATTGGGATCATTTTTATATTTATTAAAAACTCTTGCAATTATATAAAGATGTTCAAATACTATACAACTAGCATGATAGTACACTCCAGATAAAATATTTATAGAAACATAAAAATTTGTTAAAATTTTCAAATTTTAGAAGCTAAAAGTTAATCAGATTCATTAAAAATAGTGCCATCATTATTTCTAATATGCCTATTGTTATAAATTAAGTTATGAAATGTTCAAAACATTCATATGATTTTAATAATAAGTGGAGTTTCATTTATACCCTACGTCACTAACAAATATATTCGTATTTGTCACCCCAAATTCGACACAAAATTTCCCAAAATTTGTTCTCTACTAGGTGAAATCATAATATGCCCCTGTTTGACATCCATTTTTTCTCTTTTTTCATTTCAATCACACATTCTATCAATAAAATAATATTAAACATAAACCCAAAAATTCTCCTTACTTTTTAACCACACATTTTCTATCAATCACTATTCCAAATCAAATTCTTCTCCAAAATGGGTGTCAAATAATGGCTATATATTAGTGCATTCATAATTCTTAGAATATCATTCTTAATTTATTTTAAACCAACTTGCACAATTAAATTAAAAATATGACACACACAACGAATATGAAATAAATAACCATTGAAATCGGGTTATAGTACCTTACACAATTTATCGATAACTGGTTTATTAACACTAGCGTTGTCAAATTTAAAAGAACAAATTTTACTCTTACAATAATATTTTCTAATAATGCTCATAATAGTGTTATATATATTGTTAGCGTTGTGAGTGAATTCAATAATTTTAAAAGTAATAATTTTTTTTATGTATACACCAAAATAGGTCTATGTAGTGTGCAGTTGCAACTATATAACCTTTTTTTATTGATCTCTTCCCATAAATTCGAAATTAAAGATATAACACCCACATATTTTTGCAAATTAGTAATCAATTGTTTCTTTGTATTATAAAAATATTCTATTGTATCAGAATGAAAAGTGTTTCTACTTACCCCAATATACTTTGGTTGGAGGTATTCTTTCAAGAAGGAGACTAAATGTTGGTTATCCGCTATTACTAGAGGTAACTCAGCACCGACAACGAACTTCACCATTCCCTGTTCGAGCTTTCTCCTCCGAATACATCCACGTGGAAAGTGTCTTAAAAACAAAATTTGCGGTTGGACTACCAAATTTCAATTGAGTTTGATCGGCAGTAAGAAGCTCATGTTTGGCCGCACATGCTTTGTAATAATGGTTGAGGTGTGAGGTACCAATGCCCTTTTGCCCGGCAGTCATTGTTGGCAGTATTTACATACCGCTTTAGACTTTGTGACCCATCGACTACATGGCCTGTTGAAATCAATTTAAAGTGATTCCAACATTTTGCCTTTTTTTTTTTTTTTTTTTCCATTTTGCTTCCCTCTTGCATTATGAACATCTAATTCTTGTTCCTCCTCATGTTCCGCTTCAAGAACATCAATTTCATCTAAATCAATTGGAATACTACTTCTGTGATTATCCAACACTAAAATATTTTCGAGCATGGGTACTTCGTTGAGACCGACAAATTCACTTTGAAATTGAATTTGCGGCAAATTCACTTCGTTGAGACTGGCAAATTCACTTTGATACCGAACAAGTCCTCAACAATTGAGTGTAGATCCATTTGTGAATTATGCTGAAATGTATAGAAATATCTATCAGTGCATCAAGCCTTTCTTAACCATTCGAATAGAAGGAACTTGTCCAATTAACTACTTTGTTGCCTTCCTGCCATATGTGCATGAGTTTAAACTTTAGTTTTTCTAGTAGCTATCTTCATAAACATAGATTCTCGT